CGGTAACCTTTAAAATTTGCTCTCAACTACGACTCAGAAATTATTTTTTGCCATCAAATGAGAAGAAACATCACTATCATACATTTAATGACTTTGGTTTCAGTGGATGAACCATGTCAAATGTTGAAAACTATCAAACAGTTTGCAAATATTTCACTTGCCATATTCATCCTGCAAAGGCAAGTACTTTTGTCAGCAAAAACTTGGGATAATATTCAACATCTAATACGGCTGATCCCTGGATGCCACAGTTATAATCCGAACTGAATCTGCAAATGCCTAAGACGAACTGTCACATTATGTTACGTAGTTCAGTTTTTAGTGATTTACATATGCCAGGTATACTACCAGTGAGAACTCTGTAACTTAACAGAAGTCAATTATTTTGTGCATGATGGCGTGTAGTGGCAATGATGCACTGTGTATTTCACATTTTCAGTGTAACTACTTCGTAAATAGTTGCTGCACTTGTCAGAAAGTTTTGAACCGTTCATGGAAACTAAAAGGATCATTTCCGTGTTCAACCATTCCTCCTGTAATCCATGATTAGACAGATAAATGAAGGTTTCCCTTAGACACTTTGGGTTATGATCCCCAGCCCGTGACAGTGGTATTTGTCTTAAGTTCTTCAAAAGTAAATTTATTAAGACTTTCTCATCTCTATCACCTCATCCCAATTGAATGAGTCACTGATGAAGAACAGTATTTATAGTATGACATCAGGCACTGTAATTGGAAAAGCCACTGCCCTTTTGTGACAGAATAATTCGGAAATTGTTGGGATCTAATAATTGAGACAAACAATGTTCAAAGAAAGTGCCCCCTTTATTTCAAACCTTTGCTCAACGGTAGCTACCCATTGTAACAATTACACTGTTCAACAGCCAAAATATATCGGAGATGAAACTAACCAATTTTTACTAATTTTGAGCTGCTTAACACCAAAATGACATTCATTTTGTATGATTGGTTCGCATTTCGAAGATATTCATACCAAGCTGTTTCGCTCAATTTTCGTAATTTTCAGAATTGTAATAGACTACTTACTTCAGAAACAGCCTGTACAAGGGCGGAGAAGGTTTTTCTGCTTCCTGCAGGTCTAGTCAACATCCCTAAGGGATGTTTAATAAATTGGTTCAGTTGTCCTTGTGGTTCTGTTTGGCAAGCAAGTGTTTTGTGGAGTGCGGATTTTGTGTTTCACTTCGTCTTAGAATAATTATGTAGTGAACAGCAAGAACGCCGTGAGTACTTAAATGAGATATTTGTAACACTAAAATATACAAAATGTCGCAAAGATGTGTCAATAATCCTAACAAGTTTTGTTATATCTGTGGAGAAGTTACTTTTAAATCACAAAATCGAAACTTGGCCCCCATCGTTAAGAAAGCGTCCCACCTTTATTTTGGTTGCAAAGTGGGTGACATGGACAGGGCATGGGCACCCCATATTTGCTGTCTGAAGTTTTCTACAAATCTACGTGAGTGGCTAAAAGGAAAAATGCAATCTATGCCCTTCGCTGTACCCATGATGTGGCGGGAACCGCATAACCATGTAAACGACTGCTACTTCTGTAAGATTCCTCGTGTCATCGGCATAAACAATAAGAAAAAACATGCTTTGATCTATGCAAACAATATTGTCCTTGAACCACTGGTAGATAAAAGCAAAATAATACTGCCAGCATTGCACATTAAATGGGTTTGATGAAAAAATTTATAAAAGGAATGGAACGAAATGGTACCTCTTTCACAAATTTCCCCAACTAAGTGAAGCTAAAATCAAAGAAGGAGTTTTCGTAGGTCCCCAAATAAGAAACCCGATTGTTGATGAACATTTTGTTGACATTTTGACGGGAGAGGAGAAAATTGCATTGGAATCCTTCAAGTCAGTTGTTAGGAATTTTCTTGGAAACAACAGGGCGCCAAACTATAGGAAATTAGTAGACACATTCTTGACAGCACACAGTAAAATGGGATGCAATATGTCTCTTAAAATGCATTTCCTCCACTCTCACTTGGACTTTTTCCCTGATAATCTTGGATCGGTTAGTGATGAACATGGCGAACGATTTCACTAAGATATTTCTACTCTTGAAAGGCGTTATCAGGGGAAATGGAGCGTATCAATGACAGCTGATTACTCCTGGTCGGTGGTAAGAGATGCCCCTGAAGTAAAATACAGAAGAAAGGCCAAAAGACAAGGTAGCTGAAATTTTTTAAACATTTGCATATCATATGGACGAATTTATTGGTGACATTTTACAAAGTATAAAATATCTTCAAAACGCGAACTAACTAAACTTTTTTATTGTCATTTTCGAATTTAGCGGACGAAAATACATAAGAATTGATTAGTTTCATTTCCGACATATACAACTCATTAAAAATTTGTTGTCTAGTGTTATTACTTGTTCAAATATCACACACGAGGACTTCAACAGACCAATTTAAATGTTCATAAATGTCGCAGTAACAGATCTAAAGAATATGTTGTGGAGAAGCATGAGGACATTCTTCATGCTCACAGAGAGTGGAATAAGGAATTACATGAAAATACTTCAGAGCATTCATTGGAGGTCTCCGAAGCCAAGACTTACGGTATGTAGGCTCTTACTGCACATACGTGTATGTATGTACTACATTTGTGAGCACAGACAATAAATCTCTGAAGTCTGAAATCACATGAATCACTGTGACACTGCTTCTCTCTTTAGATGTCTAGATATTCTATTCATCACTCTATTCCAGATATCTTCAAAATATTTTCTTCTATCTGTGTTCAACATGAAGTTTTGCTTCCAAAAAAGAAATAATGTCACTATCATATTTTGAACTGTGGCTTTAGGGGCCACCCCAGTGGACATTGCCTTACTGAAGGCACCTGAGAGCAGGACGGGGTGGTTTGCATGCTTCAAGTAAGCTGAGGGCTATGCCTGTGGTAGCATAACTACCAGTAGGGTCACCCAAGTCAGACAGGCCTCAGCTGAGAAGCCACCTTGTAAAAAAAATTGTCACGAAGCCAAAAGAAAGAACATGCCCAACAGACATGGAATGAACTTGTACACAATTTACGATTAGTAAGTCAGAATGTACTAAGCCTGCACAAAATAGGCCCTTTGCTAGACTCAAAGAGCAATTGGCCGAATTGTAAGCTAGGAGTCAAAGCTCTCCTGGAAGATGGAAGTGTAATGATATAGATTCTGGAGATCATACAAATCATTTATAATGACCATGACTTGCATGAACTTGGAACAGGATTTGTGGTTTCACGGCACTTGAGACAAATGGTTTCTAAATTCATACGTGTTAATGAAACATTGTGTGTCCCGAGGATAAGGTGTAAAATGTTAAACGTATCACTTATATGTGCACATACTCCAGTAGAAGAGGCAGAGGAAGAAATCAAAGATAGATTCTATATGCCATGAAGATCATGAAGAGGAGCAGATTACGGAAGAGGACGGACATCGACCACGCGAGGACAGAGCGTTTGATTCTTTCGGGAGTGAAGTGGCTGATGTCACTCTATCAACCACCCGAGTTGGAAGTATTCATTTTAATATGAATATTAGGTCATTCTTTCAACGTTTCTTTCAATGGATGGGACGTTGTTAGTTTACAGAATTAGCAAGAAAGATTACATCAATAGTAGGATGGTGCATATAATTCTATGACAACCCGGCACTTGAAGTTAATACTTCTATTAATCCTGTAGCAAAATTCCTATAGGTATAGATTAAAGATGTATCATAAAGGCTGTTGAGGAGGATATTCAGTCCTAGGAGAGAAGATGATGGGGTATGGAGAAAACCAGGATAGGGTTCAGTGGTGGGCTATGGTTAATTCACTGATGAACCTTGGAGTACTGTAAGCCATCTAGTTAGTTAGTTATGGATTCTTTCAGAAATTGCAAGGTGGAAGCAACACCATTCAGTATGCAAAAACAAACTTATGCAAAGACATTAGATTGCTGATGTCTTCTGATGACTCTCATGTGCTCTTGAAAAGTGAATTGTGTCTTGTCATAAGGAGAAACGTTTCCAGCATAGTAAGTACAACTTAATCTCTAACTTCTCCTTGACGTCCTCAAATATCAGCTTACTAAGATGTTACATTAAAGTCACGATCGAGTCCTAGTAGTGACAAAAACCTGTGTTGCATTAGTCAATTACAGAATGAAGCTATATCTCAATTCTCCCACGTCTTCATAGCATGGTGCTTAGTTAAGCATCACAGATATATTTACAATGTCTTTATAACTTTAAAAAAACTGATGCTTGTCTCAACTTAAAATTATTACACAGAATGATTTACACTGCCTGCAGTATCTTATTCATAATTTTCTAAAACATTTATCATTTGAAAGTGAATTGTTGTATAACCTACCAGTCTCTTCTCACATTTCAATAATTTATACAAATCTTACATTAAACATTTTTAAGTGTGTTGCTTAAATTCACATCTCAAGACCAAATACAGATAATGATGGAACAGAGATAATTCTGTGCACATAATCCTCCTGTAAATTTCAAACACGAAACGCGATTTCGTGTAGGCCTACATATAGCAGCATCCTTCATCTCAACATAAGCCTATCACAAAATAAACAGAAAAACAGTGAATCTGGATTCAAACTCACCTAAATCTTTCCTTCCATAAAAGTAAGTACACATCAATGTAACTAAATTCCATCATGTCGACACTACTGCAGAACGGTATAATTCGTCTCCATGTCTTCACTGTATCTTCTATTCAAGAATGTTGTGTGCATATTTATATTGTAATCAGTGACTCAATGTTTAACAGCAGAAATAACCCTTCATAATAACACGTTTCATATTGTTTTAACATAATGCACACTGCAAGACTCTGGAATCTTCTACTCCACAAGACATTGAGAATTTTATGCAACAAGCGATTGCGCAAACACAATTCATATTTACCCAATTCTCAACCATTTTTAAGCGTTCGCAAAATAGAAGCCAAGACAATAAATATACACAGTCACTCCAATAGTAATCTGTATCACAGTTGCCACACCTTATTACAATGAAAATCACCGACACTAAATAAAATCTATATTTTATTACAACATAACAATCTTCCAACGCCACGCTACCAAGTCAGGAGTATTAACGGATGTAACTTTGCACACACTAGGAACAAAGAGCATCGTGCCAACCAAAGAGAACCAAAAGTACATATTTAAAATATCTGCCATAAATTAGTTTACTCTCTGTACTCAGTCGATTACTTCTTATTTTTTCAGAACAGTACATTGTAAATGAATCGTGAAATAATTCTTAAAAACGATCTTCACTCTACTAATTTCATGGATTGTATGCCTTCACACACGAGTGACGCTCGGGTAACAAAAGTGGTGCACCAAACTGGAAGTTGGTGAACCTGGCTGTATAATACAAACGTAAGATGGTGATATGCCGTAAGTGCTCGTGTATTTTTCAGACAGTCCTACCCCATGGACTCATTTTTCCATCTAGACACAAAGATTAAAATATGAAACACTACAATCTTAACTGTTGCTTTGTATAGGCCAATATTAAAAAATATTTTAGGGAAGTAAAACGTGGATTGGACTGATCTGGTGCAGGGTAGGGACTGGCTATGAGCTACAGCAAACTAAATAATTTTCATAAAGAGAATACAGTACCTTGACTAGCCGAGCCTATTAGCAGCATCTCAATGGCTGTGCCCTATGGAGTATTTTACATGTTAAATATACAAAAGTACTTTTTTACTATTTTCTTACGAATAAAAAACAATTGGACCCATATTTTCTTGGTGGTTGTTGCCAATTTGAACCTCATACAAATGATATCCAACCTTGTATAGACTTCCTCACCTTTAATATTACAGGAATAGGTTAATGTCAATGATGGATGTGCTAAATCAGGGTTGAATGTGGTTTTGATGAGAAGTAGAGGTATCATCATGACTGGTCCCTTTTCTATTATAAACAGAATGCCTCTTAAAACTGGATACTCTTGCCTGTTAACTATCACTTGAATTAATACATTTCACCATACAACACACTCATAATTTATCAAATACAAATAAATGTTCATAAAGCTTAATGTACTGCAACCTCAAACACATCAAATTAACCTGACCCAATTTTTAAACTGCTTGCCTCAGTTTATTTATAAACTATTCATATAATTTAATTTCTCAAAGTTGGTTCTAAAATTATTTTATAGTCATAAATATGATTGATTTATGAAGAGACATCTGATCTGGTTAATAACTGGTATCCAAACATGTGTAAGTTTAAAAATCTTGGAAGACCACAGCTTCTAAATCACCCTTCTCAGTTTCTGATTTGATTTAAAATTCCTCACAACTCACTGGAAGATTTCAGTCAGTCCCTTCTACTTATGAGGCTTCACCCCTCAGAGAACATCTCTGATAGGCTGGCTTCTCACAATGTACACTTTTGACTGTTGAAATCAAGGAAAGCCCTTTATCCATTTTCCTTTAAGTATAGTTTAGCCAGTCTGTCACAGTTGAATCAAATTGCAGGTCCAACTTGCATGCAATGAGTTCATAACTGTGTGTCCTTGACTGCTAGCTCTGTGCAATGTATACACTTTATAATCCTATATAAAAATATCCAATAATAATGAGTAACAAACAGAAAGAAACATGATCCTGGAAGAACTCATACTCTTCCATTCAATACATTCATCAATGCATAAATTATAATGAAATAAGTATGCAATAAAGGAAAGGGTGTTATGTTCGTGGGTTGTCACCATAAGACACATGTTACAGTGATGACCAAAGAATCACTACATTTAGACACTGTCTTCCTGAATCACCAGAATTACTGAAGATGCCTGTAATTTAAACTTGTAGTATATTGATATATGCCACTTGAAAAAAAGGGCTTCAAACTCGTTTCTTCAGAATGATAAAAAATCAAGAAATATTATACTCCTTCATAGGTAGGAAACTGGTTGCAACTTGCCACATTGTCACAAGTGCCACATATCTGACATTCATACAATCCTTACAATAACTAAATTCTGTCAAATCTGTAAAGGTTGCACATCACTTTTATATGCATTCCTTGCACAATGTATAAAATGCTGAGTTTGTGACCATCCATCTGTTCATGTTTGTTCTCCAAAAGCTGGCTCTACTTTGCAAAATTTCAATGATTTTGTATTTGGGTTTTTTCTAAAACTCCTGAGCGATTTTAATTTTGGTCAGAATTAGTACCCCAATGTGCATGAAGCTGACGTCAAACTAAATATTTTTTTCGATGAATCACCATATAATTTTCTGTACATAACCAGCATTATCATATTCATAATTTTCTCAAAACCAGTTGGTTATAAAAGTAAGTGTTATCTTTTGGAACAAAACTAAAATATTAAGTATATTAATTTACAGAACTGTTACTAGTGCTTTTATTGAGAAATGACTCCTTGGTACAGGATCTTCTTAGCATTGGTATTTGGTTGTTCATATTCTTTGTTGTCAGTGAATCTGAAAGATCATTACTGTCATCACAAGACCGAATTATGGGCTTGTTCAGTGTAGTTCACAAATTCAAGGCCAAGGATAACAAAATATTTCAGTCAGAACAGTCAGTCCCAGTTTCAACACAGCAGAGATATATTTTCTTTTCCACACACACACACATGCACACACTTTTTTTTACCACACTCGCCCACTATTTTCTAGTTCTGGTGTGGTGTTACAGGTGATCTGATGCAGCAGTTAGTACATGGTCCCATAGAGGTGGTAATTGGGCTGAGTTTTGGAATAGGATGGGGAATTCTTTTGATGTTCATTCCTCATAAAGATGATGTAAGTATTCATTATAATCTTCATGTCATCCACAATAATAATATATTTCCCTGTCTTGATGTTTCACTGTTGAATATTAACCTTCTGATAGGTTATGTTTCACTTGTCAATATTCCTGATTTTTGTGGTGTCTGGCAACTTGAATGTTAAAGAGTCTTTCAAAGGATACCAATTTTATGGTCAATTAGAATTTTGAGATTATGATCTTTTGAGTTAATTTTTCACAACACAGAGGTTATGAGTGCTTCATTCTGTATGGCAATACTGTTTTTGTTTATAGTTATCAATAGAATAAATGCAAGTAAATACTTTTTTCTGTCTGTTAATACTCTATATCAGGTTAGATATCAACAATGCTTTTGAAGATATCTGTCTTCTGGGTTGTTGCGCTGTGTAGACTTGTCAATGTTAACCAACGTTTCAGAGGTCATACTGCCTCCGTCATCAGGGCGAGCGAGGGTAAGCCTTGTCACTCATTCACAATCATAAGGTAGGACAAGAATAATTATGCATGCAGTAAAGCTACAGTAACTGAAAAAACTAAACACAGCAAAATATATACAACACATGATGTTACAGAAACTTGTAAAAATGTAGCACTTAAAAAGTTAATAAGTTGATTATATTTTAGCTGTCAAGACTTTCCAGTTTTCTGTTGAAACCTAAGATTTATCTCTTTTGTTTTCAGTAAAGCCAGCCTTGTCCTCAGTACAGTTTGCATCATAAAGTAAATTATAAATGCCCTTAACAATGTTGTATGTACTTAATTATTTTTTATCCCGAATGCAAGTAAATTTTGCCAGGTCAGGAGGCTTGCGTGCTCAAGTGACCCTTAGGGCTATGCGGGCCGGAGCTTCAGCTCATGGTAGGGTCACCTAAGCTGGACAGGTCTAAGGCAATGAGCCAGACTAAGGGTGATACCCTTGTCCTCCAGGTTGGGGGTTGGGTGTGGGGCAAAGAACTCCACCCTGGAAAACAATTATTGTTATGATACTCTCAAAAGATATAAATACCTGTAACTCACAATGTAGTCAGTACATTTATTCTCCCATATTTCTTCCTTTGCTGTGGAATTTCTTTAAACATGCTCTGTGTTATGATATCCTGTATATTTGGCACATTACAGAATTATTCCTCCCTAACAATTAAAGACATACAGGTATTTATATCTTACATTTGAATAACAGTGAGAGCTTTCTTTTATTTATTAATCAAAAATGACAACATACAGAAAAACTGACAGGTTTACAAAATAAAATTATGATTTGAGAATTAACAACTGTGCTTTGTACTGACAGTTTTATGTTCCATTCAGTGACAAAGTTACATCACCACATATGTCAGTGTTGGTCACATGAATGGGTCAAAAGTCTGTATTATAAAGGCTTATTTTATATATGATTTCAAGCTTTCACGACGAAGTAACTCACTAAAATCTTCTTAGGCGATCAGCCACGTCAAAGGTTTAAACAATAAAACCGACATTTCAGAGACCGTCTTTGTCCCCATCATCAGAAGCCTGATGATGGGGATAAAATTTAATCTACATAATTTTGGTAATGTGGCAGAAAAATCTTTCTTATGGTCATACAAACATTATTATAACATTGGAAGTTATAAAATAGTCAGGGATGTGGTAATGCTACCCAGACTTTCCTTGTGCCCTACTCCCAGACCATTATAATATTCCTACTCAGAACCACTACTAATTATTGGGTACAGGCCAGTGGGAACTAGTTGTCACAGCCAAGCATATGACTTTGATTTGTCTTGTTTTGTGATTGGTGTTTGTCTGGACTGAGAATAAAGAAGATGTTGAATAAATAACCATTAGGATGAACAAGGATGAGAAAAGAAAAATAATGTATGCAAATGGCAGCAAGAGGAGTGCTTATAGGAGAATGGCATATTTCAATAGAAACACCAGTGGATGAAAGGGGGCATCATGCCAAATATACCACATTACATAATTCCAAAATCCTTTTGTGAAACATTTTGTAATTTGGTGAATATTTAATGAGAGGAACATAATTTTACATTGTACTTAACTGACAGTTGTTATTATTCAACAAAGTACTCATGCAAGTGATCAATAAATAGCCTGCTTATTGGCATCACAACGATTTATATGCAGGTTAAGTATCATTGTTACTTGTGTTCTCTTTTTCCACAACATATTTTTCATATTACACAATAAGTACAAAGGTGAATTTTATAACATTTGATACAAATATATAATTGTGTATAAAGAGTTTTATCATACTAAATAACATAAATT